GAAATGTGATGAGAATAAGAATGGAATGGCCATTCTCATTCCATTGTTTGATTGTAAATATAAAATGTATAGGAATGGAATGATAATAACCATTATAGTGTTTGATTTGACCTAGGGGTGTTCAAAAAATCTGATAAACCGAAAAACCGGACCGGACCATACTGAATTGGGCGGTTTGGACTAGTTGTATAGCAGTTTGGTCCGATCCTAGGGCCAAAATTATGGAACCGTAATTTTTTGGTCCGGTCCTGGTTTAGGACCGGACCGAACTGTTACTATGTTATATAATATATATTTATATATATATATCATATCCTAAACCCTAAATCAATTAAAGTTCTCACGTGCTCCCTTTCTTTCTTTTGTTCTTTAAATTCCTTATAAATTTATTTTTAAAAAAGTCAATTTTCCCTTTTCAAATATATTTCAATTTTCTTTCCTTTTTTTCTTCTTAAAAATCTTCTTTCCTTCTTCTTCTTCCCTTTTTTTTTTTTTTTTTTTTTTTTTTTTTTTTTTTTTTGTGTATTGTATCAATGTTAGTTGATATTTTATTTATTTATTTATTTAAACTTTGCCCCCTCAAAATCAAAATAAAATAAAAAGAAAATCAACTGAGACCGACAAACCGAATCGAACCAAATCGATTTTTTGTGGTTTGGTTTGGTTTGGTTCCATGAATATTATGGTTCGGTCTGGTTTTAAAAATAGTAAAACCGTTATAAATGGTTTGATCCCAAAATACTCTCAATCCGGTCTAAACCGGACCGTGTGCACCCTTAGTTTGACCAATTTAAAATTTATAATGGAATAAATTTCAAATTGAGTTCTCCAAAATATCCCTTTTAGTAACAAATAAATTAAATTAACAAAATGACATTATTCTATAATTTTTAAAAAATAAATGGTGGCGGTGACTGTAGAAGTGAAAAACGGTAGTGGTGCAGGTGGTGGCATGGAGTTGGAAGGCGACAGTGGCAATAATGGAAGGTTGTCGCGGTCGCGACGGTGTTGGTGGAAGGCGGTAGTGGTGTTGGTGGTGGATGGCGGTGGCAGTTATGTGGTGGCGGAAAGAGATAGTAGTATAGGTAGCGGTAATGGAAGCAAATAGAGGTGACTATGCTGGTGGTGGAAGGCAACGGAGTTGGCAGTGGTGGTGGAAGGCAGTGACAGTGATGGTGAAAGGTAGTACAGGTGACGGTGGTGGTGAAAGGTAGTGAAGGTGGTGGTGGTGGAAGGTGGTGGTGGTAGAAGGCAGTGGTGGTGGTAGAAAGCAGTGGCGGCGATGGTGGAATGTGGTGGCGGTGGTGGAAGGCGATGGCGGCAGTGGTGGTGATGGAATGTGGTGGCAATAGAAGGCGATAGCGATGGTGAAAGGTGGTGGTGGCAACGATGATGGAAGGTGGTTGCGATGGTGGAAGGTAACAGTGGTGATAGAAGCTGGTGAGCGTGGTGAAAGGCGATGGCAGTGGAGATGGTGGTTGTGGCAAATGAAGGCGTGTCAGTTGTGAAAGGCGGTGTCGGTAATGGAAAGTGGTGGGCAGTAGTGAAAGTCGGTGGACGTGGAGGTGGTGGTGGTGGAAGGCGGTGGTAGTGGTGGTGAAATGTGGATGTGGTTGTGGTGGAAGGTAGTGTTGGTTTTGGACTTGGAATATGAGGGTTTTTTTGGGAAGTTTAATTTTAAAAAGAAAATTACTTGGGAATAGAATGGACATTCTATATGTTTAGTTGTTGAATGGATTTTAAATCCAATGGAATGGCCATTCCTACTTTAAATTGCATACCAAACAAATGAATGGTTGGAATGGGCATTCAATTCCATTCCATTCATGCACACCAAACGTAACATTAGAGTGGTATTAGCACTCCCCATTCACTTTTAGAGTGCTCAAAGCAATCCTACAATACCATACACTATCACCACACCTTTTGGACTTGTTTCTCTAATTTTGTGAGGATCATAGTTAGGCCTAATCCCTCTTAGGCTAGAATGGACTTGAATAATTTGACTTGGTCATCTCACCATGATTGATGCGATTTTAAAAATACTCTCAAGTGTATGAATCATTTAGAGTATAGATTTGCAAAAATGAGGTCGTACCCATAGGGATTGCATTGAAAATTTCAAGAAAAACTAGTCTAAATTCGAATTAATTCAACTCTAACCTAACTACCTGAAATTGATCTTGTTGAATTTATGATGCAATTAAAGGAAAGTTATTAAATCGAAAATAAATGAGAGAAATATCAAGGTATCGGATTCCGGACTAGGATCCTCTACTGTAAGTGGGTTATGCTGTACCCATGTTGCATAATAAATTACACCATTTAAGGTAAGTTTTTTAAAAAAGGTAATTTAAATTTGAAACATAATTTCCCAACGGTGTTAATAGTAAATTATCAAAAAATAAATAAAAAAATAAATTTGATGCTCTCTAATGGTACTCACCTTTTTAAATATATATAAAAGAAATTATATATATATATATATATATATACATATATCTAAAAGATTGAATTCAAACTTATAACACACAAAGTGTTACCAATAGGAAAAATAGAAAAATTAATAGACATGTATCAACCACATAATTGGATTGAAAAACATAAATATTATTTTTGGAATCACGATGTTGGTAGCTTCGATTTGAATTGGAAGAAATCTTTCAATCTATCGGTTCGGTCCTCCCAAACATAACAAAAGTGATTTGTAATAATCGAACCCAATTAAAGTGATTTATAAACTTTTAATTTTGTTCTCAATACCTTTAATCTTTATCTAAACACATTTTAATATTTTTCTCGGCACCTTTTAATAATTTTCTCAACCCTAAAATTTTTTCCCAACACTTTTTTTATTGTTCTCAACATATTTAATCTTGTTCTCAACACATTTAATCTTATTCTCAACACCTTTTAATCTTATTTTCAACATCTTTAATTTTTACTTCAACGCATTTTAATCTTTACCTCAATGCATTTTAATCTTGTTCTCAATTTCAAATATAAGTAATCTGAAAAATTAATAATAAATGAATAAATCAACGCCTTGCCCAAGTAGTGAGCAGTTGTTCTATGCTAGTAATGATATTGAAATGAGTTTTATGGTAGTCTTATTTGAGCAGGGCATAGCAGCTTAAATTGTTTGATTTATTCATTTATTATTTTTTTGAGATTACTCGGATTTGAGGTTGAGAAAAATATTATAAGGTATTGAGGTAAAAATTAAAAAGATGTTAAGGTAAAGATTAAAAGGTATTGAGAATAAGATTAAATGTGTTGAGAACAAGATTAAAATGTGTTGGGAACAAAATTATAGGTGTTGAGAAAAAGATTAAAAGGTGTCAAGAAAAAAATTAAAATGTGTTGAGATAAATATTAAAGTTGTTAAGAATAAAATTAAAAGTTTATAAATTACTTTAATTGGGTTCGATTATTACAAATCACTTTTGTTATGTTTGGGAGCCCAAATCAATAGATTGGAAGATTTCTTCCATTTTCAAATCGAAAATACCAATATTGTGCTTCCAAAAATAATATTTATGTTTTTCCATCCAATTATGTGGTTAATGCATGTCTATTAATTTTTTCGTTCATTGAGGTAAAGATTAAAAAGTATTGAGAATAAGATTAAAGGTGTTAAAAATAAATTTAAGAACAAAATTATATGTGTTAAGAAAAAGATTAAAATATGTCAAGAAAAAGTTTAAAATGCGTTGAGATAAAGATTTAGAGTTTATAAATCACTTTAATTGGATCATATTATTACAAATCACTTTTGTTATGTTTTGGATCACTGAATTGATAGATCGGAAGATTTCTTCCAATTTCAAATCGAAACTATCAATGTCGTGCTTCCAAAAGCAATATTTATGTTTTTCCATCCAATTATATGGTTGATGTACGTCTGTTAATTTTTCTGTTCATTGAGGTAAAGATTAAAAGATGTTGAGATAAAGATTCAATGTGTTGAAAATAAGATTAAAATGTGTTGAGAACAAAATTATAGGTGTTGAGAAAAAGATTAAAAGGGGCCAAGAAAAAGATTAAAATGTGTTGAGATAAATATTAAAGATATTAACGATAAGATTAAAATTTTATAAATTACTTTAATTGGGTTTGAATATTACAAATCACTTTTGTTACGTTTGAGAGCACCGAATCGAGAGATTAAAAAATTTCTTCTAATTTCACATCGAAATTACGAATACCGTCATTCCAAATGTAATATTTATGTTTTTCCATTCAATTATATGGTTGATACACGGTCTGATAATTTTTTTTATTTTTCCTGTTTGCTACTCTATGTTTGCTATAAGTTTGAATTCAATATATATATATATATATATATATACATAATAATTTATATAAATACCACCGTAATTATTGCCAGAATTGATTTCCATCACGTAAAATTATTTAATATCTTAGTATATATATATATATTTTATTTTATATATATTTAAGAAGGTCAGTATCATTAGAGAGCACCGAATATATTTTTTATTTTTTTCCCTTCCTAATTATAACGCAGCAAAACGGCGTTAATAACGAGATCCGTTACGTCCACATGGCAAAATGTTATTTGACAACATTACGACCTGTACAGATCGATCTGTACCTAATCCGTTTATATAGTATAAAAATATATATATATTATATTCTAATTCCCTGTTTTCACCAAAATTGATATTTCATCTCACCTGTGATGTGAATGTGATATCAGTCGGAGTCAGTCTTAGCTCATTTTAATGGCGAAAACTCCAACTTCACTGCTTCGTCACGCTACCAAGTAAAGTAAGCATCACTCTCTCACATTCACATTCTTTGCGTCCTCGAACCTTCTCTCCCAAGATTTCCCTTTTTTTTTTTTCCTTCAGCTTCAAGCTCTCCAGATCACCAATTAGGTACCAGACGACAACACATCTCCTTATATATTATTTTAATGTCTATATATATATATATATATATATATTGTTTTTTTTTCTTCAATTAAAAAATGAATGTTTTTGTTGTGATGTCGAAACTTCGAAGTGTTCAAATTTTTACTGATTTCTCTGTTGAGTTCGTGACGTAAGGTGTTGCCGTGGAATCTGGTAACTATTGGAGGTTTTTTTTGACTTTCTCTGAAAACAAACAAACCCAAAAATAAAAAAAGTTTTTTCTTTTAGAATAGTTTCTAGCTTTCAATCTTCTACTTTTGGGAGGATACGTTTTTCTGCATTTGGGTAGACATTCGCATTTTTGTTTTTCGATTCTGTCTCTAAAGTCTCTTTTGCATTTTGAAATTTGAAGTCTGAGATTGGGTTTGAGTTCTAAAAATTTTGTAGAGTCTTCGTGGTTGATGTTGGAAGTGGCATTGTTTGAAGTTGTTTGTCGGATTAGGGTTTGGATCAGAAGGGGTTGTCTGAGATTATACTGATTTTTTGGGAATTTGGACAAAGGTATTTACTGGATTTTAGCTTAATTTGTGTTTCCAATTGTGTTCAATGTTTTTGTGGCTTATTGATGTTTTCCCAATTTAGTGTTTCACTGGTGTAAATTCTAAGATCTGGGTTTTCTCAATGTGAATTGAGCATTGCATTTCTTTCTACTAGATACAAATATAGCTCTTGTGCTGTTTGATGCTAGTCTTAGCACTTCCCTTTTTTATTTTCCCCTTCCCTCTATACATGAAATGAAGTTTTAATTTCCATGTTTGACATTGTCTCTTACATTTGAATCAGCTTGGTACAAAGGTGTTCTTCTTCTTCATTTTTTATTTTTTATTTTTTATTTTTTATTTTATGAAATGTTTCTATTTCAACATGATGAGGTGATGTGCACAATGCATTTTACCTTGTTTGGATTCTCTAATGGATGTTACTCTGGTGGTCAGTTAGAGTAGAAATGAAATTTAGTTTTCTTTTGGAGGTTCACCGTGTAAATGGGATATTCAAGCATCTCATTGTAACTCTTTTGCTTCAAGTATTATGTGTTTCTCCTTCTCCAGATATCATTTATATTATCAACTTGTTACTTACAGATAGTGAAACATGTGTTTGACAATGAGAAATTCTGTTTAAATGCTTAACCTATAACCTTTTTTTTTTTTTTTTTTTCTTTGATAAGTAATTAACCTTTAACTTCAACACTACTGCATGGCAAATGTAAAGGACCCGACTTTAGGATGATTGACTTCTTGATTGCTGTTTAATCTCTCCACATCTTTGCCTTTTCTGAACCATTCAGTAAATGTAACTCTCTCCTTGATGAAAATTCTGGAAAAAGACCACTGCCTTACATAGATGTAATGATGCAATGATGTGCTCTTCTGTTTTCCTGGCCTTCCTTTCAACTTTTAGCCCGAATGTCATGAGGATGCCTACATTTGACATAATTATATCAATCTCCTTGTTGTTTTTCAAGAAAGCTTTTGATCTTCTTAAAAATCAAATCTTTATCCCTTCACATTGTGCTGTTAATTTCTAGAAGATATTCTTCTTTTTTATTTATTTATTTCTTTTCAAAGATGGTCATTTACTTTCTTTAGTTGTGATTTATCAAACATGGTGAGCCATTCACTTTCATGTTTACAGTAACTTTTATTTCCATGACTCTGAAATTGTAATCTAAGGGGCAGCATTTCCTTCTAAAGTTTTGGTTTTGTTTACTCATCAATAATAATTTTTGTAAATTTATTGTAGTGATGCATGGGTTTCTGGATGATTTTGAATAGATATAGTGGAAACCTGAGGATTTACAGCCAATGGTAGATTGATTGCGCAGTAATGTCGAGGATTGCAAAGTGGAAGCTTGAAAAGACAAAAGTAAAAGTGGTATTTCGGCTGCAGTTCCATGCTACACATGTATGTTTGCTCTTTAAGATGTAAATTTATTCCACATCATAGAAAATACACTTCCAGGAAAACACAGGATTCTGAAATTTTGCTCCAATTAGTTTATGCTTAAGTTGAAAGTAGTACCGAAATTTGGTGGAATACTTTTTAAAAGAAGCCAAACTATTCGAATTGGCTTAAGGTTGACACAGTGGTTGAACTTCAAAATCCTGAAAACCAGCCTAGTGCATGTGTACATATCAGGGGTAAGAAAATGTCACAAACTCAGTGAAATACTTTAAATCTGTTTCTCATCTCATCTCCTGTCAAAAAGATGTCACTGTATGTATACCCTTGAATTAGTATTTTTCTAGTCTGTTGACTTAATGGTCCATTTTTGCCATGCCTTACTCTACCACTGGACATTGAGGCAATTGTTTAAGGCTCCGCATAGGGAAAAGGCTTATGTGAACCTATTGTTGTCTTAAGCTTTCTCTAACTCTTTGATGTGGGCCCATAAAAATGTACTACTAAAACTCTATTCAATGTTTAGATTACATTACGTTACATAATAGTCTAATTGAATTTTAACATTTAAAAGTTTATTATACTTCAATTAATTTTTTTCTTGTACTTTATTTTATTCTTCTAGAATTATTTCATTTGTTATTATATTTTCTTCTTCTTTTTAAACTTTTAAATGGTTAATAATAGGCCAGTAGCCCAGCGGTACCAAACCCGTACTTCTCAAAGGGAGGTCAGGGGTTCAAGCCTTAGTGGAGGCATGGGTGTGTGAGTACCAACTAAGAAAAATAAAAAATAAAAAAAATATTAAAAGCCCTCTTAATCTTTTCTTTGGGCATTAACTTATATCATTCTGAACCTGATAATAGCTATCAGAAAATCCTCAAATGAATATAAAATTTGTTGAATATTGTGAGTTATGGCAATGTGGATTTCAGTAGTTGGAATGTCTAGGAGGATTAGTTGCGCTGTTATGGAAAGCAGTGAGACGAGTTTGACCAGGTCACTTCAATCCTGCCTTACACCTATTAAGACTGAGCTTTGGAGGTGTTTCATCTACCTTTCCCATTCCGATTTTAATTGGCCGTTCAAACCCTTATTATCCCACCCTGCTTGTAACCTGATTAGCTACAAAATTTAATTCAGACCTGGTAAACTGATTAATGGAGGTGCACCAACAATGCACGGAAGTCTATAATTAGAGTATCTTATAAGAGTTCCAGTCTTTAGTTTCTGTCATGTGCTGCATCACTGAGTCAATAGATGAAATAGTCTATAACTCAACCGAACAAGGAGAAAGAACAAAAGAAAAAGAAAAAAAAAGATCTAATTCAAATCAAAGAAGTCATCTGATACGAACATGAAAGGAAAACAATCATAAAAATTATATTATGTAAAAATGTTTTAATGACAACTAGGGAAATGAAAACTTAATCTGAACTATGTCTTATAGAAACAAGCACTGATTGCCTCACATGGGCACTTAACTTGTTGCATTGATTGGCAAAACTGTTTATATCGCGTGTAATCAGAATAAAATGTGTAACAAGTCCACAACATGGTCTTGAACTGTGCAATGACTGAATATAGTTTCATTTGTTTATTATTTATTTATTTACGTTTTTTTCACTTTATTCAGATTCCACAACATGGCTGGGATAAGTTATTTATATCTTTCATTCCTACGGATTCTGGAAAGGCAACAGCAAAGACAACCAAAGCAAATGTGAGAAATGGGACATGCAAATGGGCAGATCCAATCTATGAAACTACAAGACTTCTCCAAGATGTCAAAAGCAAGCAATATGATGAAAAGCTATACAAATTTGTTGTGGCCATGGTAATTTTGGCCCAAATCATTTGTTTAAAATTTAATCTTAATCATCATCTTTTACACCCCCCCTCCTCCCTTGGTAACGCAAATTATCTGTATGTGATGTTTTATGCTCCTTCTTTGTGCATATATTTTTGCAGTTCTCGTTTTACCATCAGAACATATTATTTCACTCATATCTCTTCATAAGTTAATTACCTGTATCTCATCGGTCTCAGGGTTCTTCACGCTCTAGCATCCTTGGTGAGGCTAGCATCAACCTTGCTGATTATGCTGATGCGCTGAAGCCTTCTGCTGTTGCACTGCCTCTTCACGGATGCAACTCTGGAACTATATTACATGTGAGAACCTTTGACTGTTATACATCCTATAACCTTTTTTAACAGCAGCCTCTACTGAATCATATAAGACCAGCCGAAATGTGGTTGATTGCATGACTTTTCAACCCTATGCTATACAGATAATTGTAAATGTATGATAACTGATATGCGTCCAACGTGCCTAATGTTGGCAAAGTAACCAGCAAGTTTTGAAAGGAAAAGAGAAACTCAATGCTAGATTACTATAAATTCCTTGGTTTGTAGCAATGTTTACCTATAAACCTAGTTGGCTCATAAACCTAGTCTCCATTTTGTTGGCTTATTCACTACTACTTGGTGATATATATATATATATATATTTGTTTACCGTCTCTAACCTTGGTTATCATGTTTAAGCACTGTTCACTACTTCTAGAGAATATCTTTGTATAATTCTCATATTTATGTTTAAGCACTGTTAGTTGCTTTACTTCTAAAGAATTCCTTTGTATAATTCTCATATGATGGTGTAGTTGACTGTGTTATTTGGTGCTAGGTCACAATCCAGCTGCTAACTTCTAAAACTGGATTCAGGTATTGCATCATAACATTCAAAAACTACATGAATTTGTTATTCTAAACAACTGAACTTAAGGTCTATATGCTTACAGAGAATTTGAGCAGCAGAGGGAACTCAGAGAGGGAGGATTGCAGATGGGCACTGATATGAACAGGCAGGACAGATCCAGTTTTGGAAAAATCTCATCTTCAGAAGAGACTGCCAATGATCAGCCAGATAAGGTTCAATCTGTTATTTCTGCTATATATGTCGACAAATCTTGCTTTTGTTGTATTTATATTTGTTTTTTAGTTTATATTAATGAACTCTGGTTGCACATGGTAAGCTGCCAGATTTTTGCAGAAATAACAGGTTTTGTGGATATATATATATATATATATCTATCTGTTCACAAGCTTGGAAAAAATTGATTAATCAGTACTTGGGCTATCCACTTTTCTGATTTGAATGAAAACATATGAAGCAACATATAGAGAATTTACTTCAAAATCAGATATCAGAGTGATTCTTTTTATGTGATAATGACTTGTTTGTGTTGTTCCTTGATGAGAAGACACACCTCTGGCCTCTGAATTGTGATTTGTGTTTTCAAATTTGTGAAACAGAAACAAGCTAAAGCATCTTGCTAAGTAAATTTGATTTAGCTCTATACTCTCTGATTGACCAATAACTTGATACACAAGTCTCAACATGAAATTTTGTTATATCATTGGGAAATGGCTCTTTGATTGTTAAATACACATTCAGACACAAGCCTTTCTCATCACGGGAGGCAGAAAAGATGTACTTATCAGGAAAATTTATGTAGTGGAGCTAAAGAATAATAGTGCCTTCAAGAAATGTAACTTGGGAGTGAACACGTCTTGAATTAAATGAAATTACAATTATTGGAGAGAGAAGTAAATAAATCCATCAGAAAAAAGATTTTTTTTTTTTTTTTTTTTCTTTCTCTGTGATTGGAATGCTCCAGTATATGTAAACTTGTATTGACGGCCCAAGTAAAAGAGGCCAGAATTCCCCCAGGCCCTTGCATACCTCTGTTGAAGTTCCATTCTGGCAATTTCCTCTTGATTCTTATATTGTCATTTTACCTTTAAATAAAATGGGTTATCTTCTTCAATTTTACTACTAATTTTATGTCACCTAGCAATTTATTATTCTCCTTAGCACTTCGTTCTTATTTGATTTTTGCTTTTATTTTTTTTAACATACAAAATTTTTCCTTTATAATCAACGTAATAGCACATGGGAGGTATATTTTAAAATTGTTTGTTTTTGTGATATAAATTGGGAGAAAGTACAATGCCATATAGATCCTTTTCATAGAAAGAGATATTCAGGGTTGCACAAGTTTACTGTTATTCAACTTTAAGATTTAGACAAGGATAGGGATTTCTGTTCCTGATGCCAGCTAATCAACCTTCAGTGTCCTAGTCTTGAACTAGAGCTGTAATTTACTTATTCTCTCTCTATATCATCCATCTTTCTTTGTCTGTTCGTGTGTTGGGGGGGGGGGGGGGGGGGTGTGTTGGGTTGTGAGTGATCTAGCACATGTGTTGTTTTCTATTGGTTGCAATGGAGCTCTACTTTAGAGAAAAAGAAAAATCAAGAGATACAATGAATAAATTTACTTCTCTCTCTATATCATCTATCCTTCTTTGTGTGTGCGTGTGGGTGGGTGTTTGTGAGTGATCGAGTGCATATGTGCTGTTTACTATTGGTAGCAACGGATCTCTACTTTAGAGAAAAAGGAGAATCAAGAGATACAATGAATAAATTTATGAGATATGCGGTGTATATCCATTCCAAACACTTCTATACAGATAGTTCTATATACGAAACCATTTGCAGTATCGCTAGTTTTGGAGGTTGAATTGTTCTCAGAAAACGTTGAGCTATAATTCCTGGAAGCAAAATATATGGTTGCTAGGATAATGTTACCCATTAAAACAGATGAGGGCTCTGACTTTTTAAAATTTATAATGATAATCACCTGTTGTCTATTGGCAAATGTATATAACATGTGTTATATGTCGACACTAATAAATAATATGTATGTACATCAACAAAAAGAAAATAAAAAATATGCATGTGTGCACACATATGCCTCCCATCTCTCCATGTATGAATGTGAGCAAATGTTTGTGTCTGAACACTGAAGTTTAATACCTTCAGGCATGCACTGGGTACTCGCAAAATTTCTTTCAAGGCCTAGCTCAAATATCTCTCTCATTTGGAGGGTGTCAAAGTTTAGCGCAATGAACAGTTGTCCAAGAAAATTGACCTAATGCCTCATAATATCTTGAGAGAGAAAAATTAAATGCCTTCTCTTATTGGAGGTGTATTACCATAATTCTTAGCATATTTTTGGTCAGTCACACACACACACACACATTCTCAAATATCGTTGTATGCTGTCAATGCCCATCTTCTTTTTATAAGCAGCAAGTGTTTTATTTAGTCATTTTAATCGCGATAGAGTTTTTCTTGTTTCTTTTTCTCTGAGAATAGGTCAATGCAAGAGTTAGATTCAGGCCAGAATCCAAAGACCTACCTTCACTAGAGGAAGAGGTGGGGTTAAATGAAGAATATGCAGACTCTGCTGTCGGATTTGATGGCTCATCCAATACTTCAGGAAGTTTATATGCTGAAAAGCATGATACCTCTAGCACACATGAAATTGATAGCCTCAAAAGTACAGTATCTGGTGATTTAAACGGATGTTCCCATTTTGAAAGCCCTCAAGCAGAGAAGGGCGATCCATCTGATCATAGAATTTTGGCACAGGGAAGCAATGAGTGGGTCCAAGGCTGGGGTTCAGATTATTCCATGGATAATGACTTGGCAATTGCTTATGAGGAGAACAGTAGACTTAGAGGAAGCTTGGAAGTGGCTGAGTCTTCTATTTTTGAGCTTAAGCAGGAGGTAAGCTCTTTACAAAGTCATGCCGACGAATTGGGTGTTGAAACAGAAAAGTTCGCCCAGCAACTTGTTTCTGAGATTGCTTCAGGAGAAGAACTGGCAAAAGAGGTTTCTGTGCTGAAGTCAGAGTGTTCAAAGTTCAAAGATGATCTTGAACAATTTAAAATTTTAAAAGTAAGCCCTCAGTCCTCCAGAACAGAAAGTAGTGGCACAGACAAGGATTACTTATTTCAAGATATACAGCTCAGACAGCTACACGGGCTTTTGTTAGTCGAGGATAAGATAAGGGAGCTTCATAAGAAAGCATACCTTGGTTTTCACGAAAGAGATGTCAGGTTCCTTCACTCAGACTTGGAGTCGTTGCTCGGTGTTTTGCAGGATCTCAAACAGGGAACTGGAGGAGCAATTTCACTGCTAAATTCAGTACCATCAGAAGGACAAAATGTAAATGAGATTAGAGAAACAAGTTTTCAGGAAAGCAAACAATTTGTGTTAGAAACTGGGTTTGACATGGACTTGTATCAGCCAGACAGTATGCCCCATTGCTTAAGCATTGGTGGCCTTGTGTCTCAAAATCCCGACTCTGTAGATGCTACCGATGTAATGAAGAGCAAATCCTTTGAACTTCTGAGGGAGTTGGATGAGGTGAAAGCTGAAAAGGAAAGCCTTGCAAGAAAGATGGACCAGATGGAGTGCTACTATGAAGCTCTCATTCAGGAGCTTGAGATAAATCAGAAACAAATGCTAGGAGAGTTGCAAAATCTCAGAAGTGAGCACTCTACTTGCATGTACACAATTGCTACCAACAAAGCTGAGATGGAATCCATGCAGCAAGATATAAATGAGCAGAACTTAAGATTTACTGAAGAGAGATGTGGCCTGGTTTCCATTAATAAGGAGCTTGAAAGAAGGGCTATTACTTCGGAAGCAGCACTAAGAAGGGCCCGCTTGAATTACTCTATTGCAGTGGGTCAGTTACAAAAGGACCTTGATCTGCTTTCTTTTCAAGTTTTGTCTATGTTTGAGACGAACGAGAACCTCGTTAAGCAAGCATTTTCAGAAACTTCACAACTGTGCTTCCAAGGGTACCCAGATATAGTGCAGAACCAAAAAGGATCCAATGATGCTGAACTCTTGCAAAATGTGAGGGTAAAGAAACAACTGTTGGGTGGAGATATTCTTTTAGAGGACTTGAAAAAATCGCTTCAGATGCAGGAAGAACTTTACCAGAAGGTTGAAGAAGAACTTTGTGAAATGCATTTGGTAAACATACACTTGGATGTGTTTTCAAAGACTTTACAAGAAACTTTGCTTGAAGCAACTGCTGACATTATACTTATGAAAAAGAAAATAGATGAACTTGCACAGCAGTTAGAGCTTTCAGCTGAGTCCAAGGAGTTGTTAATGCTAAATCTGCAGAGTGCCATGGATGATGTCCAGAACCTGAATGAGGACAAGTTTAGTTGTATTGCCAAGTGCAATGATATGGTTCTACATAATCAAATTTTAGAAGCAAAATTAGAAACCTTTTCCGATGAAAATTGTCTCCTTACTCGGAAGATTACAGAATACGAAGAGCTGATGAGAGAATACAGCAGTTATGAAGGCAAATATGAGGCTTGTTCTGCTGAAAAAACAGAGCTAATGTATTTATTAGAAAAAGAAACACTGACAAATGGCAATCTTCAACTAGAAATATCCTCTTTGAATGGAGATTTAAAAACTGTTAAAGACGGATATGATGAGCTGGCTTCTTTGAAGGAAAATCTGCAGAAAACTGTCAATTTTCTGCAAGATAAATTGGGGAGTCTGTTGGCATCTTATGACAAGCAATTCAATGGACTGTCTCTCACGAGCAATTCTGTTCCCCAGGATTTGGATTTTAAGGATTTCCTGGGTGTCTTCATGCAATTGGAAGATATCCAGCATAATGCATGTGAAAAGATTCTTCAACTCATGGAAGAGAACAAAAATCTGGAGGATGAAAAAGATATTGCTCTAATGTCCTTAAGTACTGCTAAAGCGGAATTTCTAGTCTTGAAGCAGAACTTCAAACATGACATACAGGATATGATGACTAAACTAGGCATGGCTAATGCTGTTGTGGAAAAACTACAGTTGGAAGTTGAAGCTATTGTTTACAAACTCCATTTTAGCTCAGAAGCTGATGAAAAATTTGCAAAACAGAACAAAGAGCTTTCTGCTGACCTTGCTCTTTTGGAAGTTGAACTTCAACAAATCACTTCTAAGAATGGGGACCTTGCTCAAAAGATTTTGGGCTTGGATGCTTTAACTGAGGAACTTGGAAGGAGTAGGTTGACCATTTCTGAGTTAATGCAGGAAAAACAAGATTTAATGTTATCTTTGCAAGATAAAACTGAAGAGTCAGTCAACCTGTCATCTGAGCTTGATAGTTTGAATGTTGCTTTAAGATCTCTGCAGGATGAATTGCATGCTGAGAGAAACGTCAAAGGTAATCTAGAGGGTGCAGTTGCAGGTCTTACTTCCCAATTGAATGAGAAGCATGACCAATTGCTACAGTTGGAAAAGCTACAGTTGGAAGTCGAAGCTATTGCTAACAAACTCCACTTCAGCTCAGAAGCTGAACAAAAATTTGCAAAGCAGAACAAAGAGCTTTCTGCTGATCTTGCTCTTTTGGAAGTCGAACTTCAACAACTTACTTCAAAGAATGGGGACCTTGCTCAAAAGATTTTGGGCTTGGATGCTTTAACTGAGGAACTTGGAAGGAGTAGGTTGACCATTTCTGAGTTAATGCAGGAAAAGCAAGATTTGATGTTATCTTTGCAAGATAAAACGGAGGAATCAGTCAAGCTGGCATCTGACCTTGAAAGTTTGAAAGAATGTTTGAGATCTCTGCAGGATGAAATGCATGCTGAGAGAAACGTCAAAGATAATCTAGAGGGTACAGTTGCAGGTCTTACTTCCCAATGGAATGAGAAGCACGACCAATTGCTCCATTTCTCCAAGCAGAAAACCGAGGAACTTGGAAGGAGTAGGTTGACCATTTCTGAGTTAATGCAGGAAAAGCAAGATTTGATGTTATCTTTGCAAGATAAAACGGAGGAATCAGTCAACCTGGCATCTGACCTTGAAAGTTTGAAAAAATGTTTGAGATCCCTGCAGTATGAATTGCATGCTGAGAGAAACGTCAAAGATAATCTAGAGGGTACAGTTGCAGGTCTTACTTCCCAATTGAATGAGAAGCACGACCAATTACTCCATTTCTCCAAGCAGAAAACTGAACTGGATCATTTCCGGCGACTGGCATCAGATCTAGAGTTGGATAAATCTAGAGTCTACCATCTTTTGCTGCAGCGTGAGGAATGTCTGGAAAAGCTTCATGAAGAATCTTCTTGTCTTGCAGATTTCGAATTTCAGTTATTAGAAATGCATGAACATTTATTAGCTTCAGATGTTGAAGTCACTTTCATTAGAACTCAGTATGAAACCCGGCTCACGGAGCTCTCTCAGCAACTTCAAACCTCAGATACTCACCTTTCTGAGCTTCGTGAGAAGCATCTTGATGTAGAGGCAATGGTAAATCGCTGTCTCGCTGGCGAGGTGCATCAATTCGAAGAAAATGCAAGGTTGGTGACAACTGTTGAATCCATGAGATCCAAGCTATCAGCCTCTGTTGGTCAAAATAGAGTCCTTTCAGATTCAAACAGTGTTATAATGGTTCAATTGGAAGAATACAAGAATAGGGTGGCAACATTGGAGGCTAGTTCTTCTAAGGATAAAAATCAGCATGCTTTGGAGTTAGAACAGCTGAAGTACTTGCTGGTGAACTCTGAAAAAGAGATTGGTGACTTGATGAGCTCCAAGGAAGAACTGGAAATCACAGTGCTAGTACTCAAAGCGAAATTGGATGAACAGCTTGGTTACTTAACCTCGGTGAAAGAGTATAATGATGAACTAGTAATGCTGCAGAACCAGTGTAAGGAGCTTACCCACAGGCTCTCTGAACAGATCCTGAAGACAGAAGAATTTAAGAACTTATCCATCCATTTAAAGGAGCTTAAAGACAAGGCCGACACTGAATGTCTCCAGGTTCGTGAAAAGAGAGAACCTGAAGGACCACCAGTTGCTGTGCAAGAATCATTGAGAATAGCCTTCATCAAAGAACAGTATGAAACCAGGCTGCAAGAACTGAGGCACCAGTTTTCTATTTCCAAAAAGCATGGAGAGGAGATGCTATTGAAATTACAAGATGCAATTGATGAAATTGAAAATAGGAAGAAATCTGAAGCTTCTCACATAAGGAGAAATGAAGAGCTATCGGTGAAGATCTTAGAATTGGAGGCTGAATTAAATTCAGTTGTATCTGACAAGCGAGAAAAAGTCAAGACTTATGACCGAATAAATGCTGAACTGGAATGCACAATATTAAGCCTTGAATGCTGCAGGGAAGAAAAACAAAAGCTTGAAGCTTCATTGCAAGAATGCATTGAGGAGAAGTCTAGAATTGCAGTTGAACTTAATTTGACAAAAGGACAGTTGGAGAGTTCTGCATCTCCCACAAATATGCAGAAGGAAGAAAATGGTGGATCAGACAAAGTGGGGCACATGTCTGGCAAGCCATTTATAGGAATGGTTTGCCAGGAAAATCCAATTGCAGATACTCGATCCCTTGAAATAATAGATACAGATGTTACTCGAAATGGTTCAACTGGAAACCAGTTTCCCAAGTACTCAGATCAAGACAATTTGATAAACTATGAAGAAGTAGAAGATGCAAGCTCAGTTCCCATTGGCGGCGGTGAACATTCATCTGCACCCATTCGGGTAATTACTTTTTCTTTGAATAATTCATTTCAGAATAGTCCTTATTACTTCATTCATCATTGATGCTATTATAATTTGTTTATCTATAAAGATCAAAGTGACAAGTACAATGATGTTTACCTGAGAATAGCTTTATGTTTTGTGGTTCTTTTGAAATTAAAATTACTTTTTAGGAATTGTGAATATATTCTTGGGATGGCCAACCAACAGCAGATTGATATGCATCCTTCACTAGAAGTGGAATATGATGTGCTGGTCCACATTCTAGGTTGTGGAGCCACCATTTGGTTGGTGTTCCAATACACATATTCTATAAAAACGTCTTTAACAAGCCATCCTATTGTTTCTGTAGTATTATTAGCACTCCCTTTACCTGTTACCCAATAGATTGTGATAATTAGGATTTTTTAATTTAATTTAATTTAAATTTTAAATTAGAGATCTACTTCACAGGTCTATACTGGTCCTATTGCCTAGCATTTGCTCCACATTTACCTTTCTGCCATTGGTAGAAAGGTTTGATAAAGTTACAAGGCTTTGTCATGGAATATCCTAAAATAAATAGAGAGAGAGAGAGAGAGAGAGAGAGAGAGAGAAGTATATTAGTGAAGAGTCGACTTTCATTGAAGCCGTTCCCGTTTGTTCCTTTATGAAGGATCTGAAATAAGCGTATCAATTCCCTGCTCATATTGTGTTGCTACAGGTATGAAACTAGGTATATGATAGTATTTTTAGATACCATGATAGTTGATAGTCACATGTGTAATAGCTTAGAATGTGTGAGATTGTTACATCATTGAGTTAATTCCATATCAGTTTAAGCTTTTGGACAAGTAGTCATCTATAACGTCACCTATGTTAAATTACGTGAAGTACCCATGGGTATGGGATTTGTTAAACACATGTCTGGACATGCACTTAGCAAGAATATCCAGTAGTTCAAATTTATTATATATTGACACATAGAATTCTTTTATTATGTTCCTTTTGCTTCAAAACGAGTCAATGCATCATTTACTTTAGCCTATATAACATGGACCTGGGCACAGGTGTGTATGTTAGTGTTGGAGCTTTCCAAATCCCAAATCTTAGGACTGGGTGAGTTGTGTGCAATGGACACATTAGATGTTATAGAAATAGAATAGTCTGATGTTGTTATCTTTTAAGAATATACTCAATTATGATGTAAATTAAATGGCATGTGGCAAAGAATGGAGTTCTATCTCATAAATAGGAAACTCTTCTCTCCTTTCAAATTTTATTTTTTATTTCTTCAATCATCACATGTGAACTATGAAGCATGGATAATCTAATAAGGGGGTCATATTTGTACTTTATTCATGTTGGGATACCAACACTCCACAAATACTCTCGGATACATGTCCGATACTTCCTAAAAGTAACAAATTTTAACAATAATTTTTTTGTTTCTAACACGTATCTGACACTTTTCAGATACTTAATCCACGTGTCTGATACTTAAAAATACATATTTAACAAGTTTTGAACATTAAAATGTAACTTCTACAAGTATAATATCATAGTAGAACTGTTAAGAAAATGTTAGAATTTCTTATACAAAACAAGTATTAAGATAAATATATTTAAGAAGTTTTGAACATTAAAATTCAACTTTTACAAGTATAATATCATAACATAACTCTTAAGAAAAGTTTAGAATTTCTTCAATATATATATATATATATATATATATATATATATATATATATATAGGTAAATATATATCATGACTAACTTAATTTAGTCCAAATTTCAACACTCAACTTCTTTTTCAAAACTTTTTTATAAGGAAATGCTAGTAATAATATATATAACGTGAGAAACAATTATTATTTAAATTCATCAATTGATACATATTTGTATTTAAAAAAATTATACATATTTATATTAGTATAATATTAGGGTTGGCTCAATGCAATTTAGTGTAAATATGTCCCTGCTTTATAGTGTGTGAAGGATCATGCTCTCCAATTTAGGTTCATGTGTCAGACACATCTCATACTGATAGGCTCTCTTTTGACCCCAAAATTGAAGCCAGATATTCAATCTGCCAGTTGATGAACACCGTCGGCAATGTATAAGCCCTCTTTTGCTGTTGCTTTGTTTTCTTAAATGTTGGGTTCTAAACTTCTGTGGCAATGGACAATTCAACATTTTAGTACTTCAAAATAATGGCGAAACAGATAATTTTTAATTAAATAGTGTAAAACAATTTTATTGATCTAGGATGTCATTAAAAGAATAACCATCCATCTCTTAGCAAGGTTGATTTCTAAGTCAGCTTTCGTAACCAACAGGACCAACGGGCCAGTGGCCTAGCGTTATCAGCCTCTTACTTCCCAAATGGAGGTCAGGGGTTCAAGTCTCAGAAGAAACAAGTGTGTGAGTACTAACTAGGGAAAAAAAAAGAGTCAGCTTTCGTAGTTGGTACTGAAATAATTTCTCCGTATTTCAGCAGCTTCTGCCTTTTCAGTAACATTTATTCCTGCTTATCAGTTATGAAGAAATTCTGAACTAGTTTTATGTATAATTTATAACCTGTTGTTTTTAGCTTCCAATGGTCTAGAATTCCATCCTTTTCAACTAAGCAGATGGACACCCATCACAAATGTTGCGAGCAGTTGGCATATTTTGTTTAATGTCCTTGATTTAAACCTTTAATTTCCATGCCTATTTCGCAGCCGCATTTAGTTGTTTAATATATTTGGTCTTACAACTTTACATGCTTTAGTGGGGACTTAGCTGTAACAAAATATCATTTTTATTTGCTCCATTTATTTCAATGGAAGTAAGATATTGACAACACACTCGTATTTCAAGCAGTTGACCACATAAAACAAACTAATTTTAAGCCTTGTGATGGCATTAAGCATTTGCTTCATCAGAAAGCTTTTCCTGGTGCAGTCATGGTCAATGTATATATATTTTTTGGTTCTCCCCTATGAAGCACGGACACGGACACGGACACGGACACGGGACACGGGACACGGGTACGATACGACACGGATACGGCGATACAGCAATTTAAAAAAAAAATAGGACACGGACACAGCATGGATACGGCAATAAAATAATAATATAATTTTTATTATATATAAAAAAATATATTTACTTTTACTTAATTTCTTATATATATATTAATAAATACAACTCATTTAAATTAGGCCAATCATCTTTTTTTTTTCAAAAACATAAAGTCAATAGTACATATTCCATTAAAAAAAAAAAAAACAAAAATATATGGAGCACTATTTATAAAATAAAATATATGTATATATAAGAAATAACACAGATAAGATGAATCTTACCTAACCCCCTCTTTCTTTCCCCGATCACTCTTTTTTCAATGACCCATGTCTCTGCTCCTACCGGCCATTCTCTCTGATCCCCCTCTATGTTCACAATTTGAGATCTATAAACACAAAAACAAAATCAATTTTACGCCTTATTGTCCCCCATCGTTTTCGGTCATTCTCTTACTTCTCGATATCTTCACAATTTTTACATCTATAGATACATCAAACCAATTTCGATTTCAAATATATATATATATATATATATATATATATATAGATATACATATATATGATACCATGTTACACTGGTTTGGCTTCCTTCTCAACTTCTTCCTCTCTGGCTCTCTTCATCTTCTTCCTTCGCTACTTCAGGCAAAAGAGCCACAGTGAAATAGCTCAGTCCCGAGATGAGAATGCCATACCTCGATACATGGGAATCAGATAAGTGCGTGTCTGATCGGTGTTCGGCAGTGTCCGATCGGTGTCTGACTGCATCGAATATATTAAAAAGTGCAGGACACGGTTAGAGCGTGTCGGACACGTGTCCAAGCCTGGGATACGAGTGTCCGTGCCGGACACGCATCCGACACTAGTACGTCGACCCTTAGAGCCGTGTCGGTGCTTCATAGGTTCTCCCTTTCTCCTTTGAAAATGGGATGGAATTTGTTCCCACCACTTTTGTCTAGGTCAAAGAGGAAAGGACTTCTACATTATGGTTGCTACTATTTGAATCGACTACTATACCCTGCTCTCTCTCTCTCTCTCTCTCTGTGTAAGTAATATATTAATACTTTAATCCGTCATCCGTTGTGCATATATTTTCATTTTCTCAATGAACAGTTTGCAAGTCTTAATGTGCAATCATTTAGCAGGATGGTTTAATATCAAAAGGTATGCATGGAATCTCAAATCAGGATTTTCTAGATCGAGGGGCCCTGCTGCATGGTGACTCGAAGCATTTAGCTGTTATCAATGATTATTTCAAAGCCCAGAGTTTGAAGTCTAGCATGGATCACCTACATGAAGAGGTATTTTTCTTTACTCTGAAGGAAGTGCTAAGTTTGTTATTGATCATGTATCCAGCCTTGTATTGTTGGAAGCAATGGTTCATGAATTACAATCCATTGGTCCTGACAAAAGAATTTACTTTGGATAATGTTCAACGGAAACCCAATATAAATCCTTTTCATTTCCTTGCAGTTGGAGAGGATGAAAAATGAGAACTCCCTTCTGCAGGATGATCATCATTTTGGCCCAAAATTTGAAGATTTGCGGAGAGAAATGATGCAGTTGAACAAGGTAATCGAGTTTCTTTCACCTTAAGAAGCATTATTTTTCTTCAAGGTTCTTATTTTTTTATTATTTTTATTATTTTTATTTTTTATTTTTAGGCCAATGAAGAGTTGGGAAGTATGTTCCCTTTGTTTAACGAGTTTTCGGACAGTGGGAAGGCATTAGAAAGGGTACTTGCTTTGGAAATTGAGCTTGCTGAAGCGTTGCGGGCAAAGAAGAAATCAAGCATTCATTTCCAGAGGTCTGTCATCCCTTACAACAGCTAAATAAACCCTGACAATTTACTCTCTATCGGCAGCGGAACTGCACACAAAAATCTCTCTTTTTCTCTCATAATTAGGATATGGGCTTAAGTATGATCTCTTTTGCTCGTGGGAAGCTCAACTATGTTTAACCAACACACAAGTTTGGTCTGTGCTGTGAAACCAAATGAGGCCCAAAACCTGTGGTGATGAGGTGTGCATGGCTCAGATCTGGAGGCTCAGTTAAAAAATTTTGTCTTCTACTCATTAGAGGCGTACCCCTCAAATTGTGGAGTGCATTTTTCATGCTTTGATGCATATTTTTGGGTCAAGTCATATGCTTATCATGAAATCTTGTTTTGCGTTACTTTAATCCAAAGCATGTGTTTTGCTATTTTTTTAAGATACCAGGAATTTTTTTTTTCTTTTTCTGCTAGCATAACCGAAATAGGAAATATTAAACTTAATGGCGGCATTCTACATGAACAAATGATAGCTCACTTTAGAATTTGATTGTCTTATTAAGAAATTGACATTTGCCTTTTTCCATGGTTTAGTTCGTTTGTGAAACAGCACAGCGATGAGGAAGCAGTATTCCAAAGCTTTAGGGACATCAATGAGCTCATCAAAGACATGTTGGAACTCAAGGGAAGGCATGCAGCTGTGGAGACCGAACTCAGGGAGATGCATGATCGTTACTCTCAGCTAAGCCTCCAGTTTGCTGAGGTTGAAGGAGAGAGACAGAAACTTCTGATGACACTCAAAAATGTTAGGGCATCGAAGAAGCCCATGCATTTGAATCGCTCTTCATCAGCTACCCTCGGGGACCATCCCTCGTAGGCACAGCATTTTGTCTTCATGAGTATCTTCTTTGCAAAGTCCTGGAAATCATCCTTCACCAGCTTCAGATGTCAATGTCCAGTTCCTGCATGTATCTAACGCTATAAATTAATGTTGGCGTACATGCCGGACTGACCTACTGCAATTGGAAGGATCAAGAATTCGCAAGCTTGGTAGGGGAGGTCAGAGGCTAAGACACAAGTTTTTTGTTGTAAATAATAAAAGTGCTTGCCAAATAGCCACTGGCTTTTCAGTACAAGATGTAGATCTCTGTAATATTGGGACATTTTCCCTCCTTTTTATCTATTTCCCCCCTCCACCTCTCCTTCCCTCCCTCCTCTTGACCTTCACTGTTGTAGTAGTTCCTTTGTATAGAAATTAAAATATTCCTTTGGCATCATCACTTCTATTTAAGCTCTTGCATTCTGCTTTCTTCATACATGCATCTATTTTACTTCAAAGTATATTGTGTGCATCTCTGTGTGTGTGTGTGTTTGAGTGTGTGTGTGTGTTTTGGATAAGGTACATGAAGGCATGATATGGGTTGTGACGTTTTTTTTTATTATTTATTATTATTATCTTGTTTGTAAGCAAAGGTTGATATGTGGCCTCATTTTAATTATGGAAAGAGATCCTAATCTCAAAAGTGCCTCCTGACTTGTGCTATTATTGTGGTCTTTGTTGTGTGGTTAATTAAAATTGCTAATAATATATGTTGTAATCAAACAAGCTAATGTCGTAGAAGTTAGGAGGTGGAAGAAAAGGTGATTTAGGCAATAAGGAAGATAAGGAGGGAAGGGAAGTCTTTTCCCTCTGGTCAATCTTAATATTTTTTTCTTCAAAAACAAGTGGAAGTGACATTTTTTCTGAAAAAAATTATAATTCAATGACCAAATCAAGAAAGAACTGATGTTGAATGAATGTCCAGTGGTCACTGTAAGGCAATGGATCTTTATTGCTTTTACAGTGACCAAGTAATTGTTTCTAAAGTTGACATATTTGTTTGCATGTATAGTGATTGGTCTGGGACCATATTCTTCATCTAACATATTTACTTACATATCAGATAGTGATCGGTCAAGATCACATTGTCCGTACCATCTTATAATTTCTCCAAAATGGACAACCTAGAAATTTTCTTTGAGGTTCTTGTGGATTTTGGGGGCAAAAGAAGGATTTGTTTAATAAGCTTCTAGAAGATAAGAAAGAGGTACAAACAATTGGCATTTTGAAAGAATAAATTGAGCCAAGTTGGTCAATGAATCCTTGCCAAACATATCTTATCCCCTAACCCTTTTTATGCTTTTTCTCTTTTCAAAATCCCCTCTACAAATACTTCGGATCAAATCAATTCTATGTTTTTGTAACCGGTAGGTCCAAATTCTGATAAGGAGATTCCATGGAAGAAGTGGGGGAAGGCCTGTCTTCCACAATGTGTGGAGGGTTTAGGTCTGGGACACATGTGCCCTTAACCAGGCTTTTTTATTGTCAGAAACAGTTTGGAGAATGATTCAGAACCATGAACTGTTGCTAGTCAGTCTTCCAAAATGGCCATTTTGTAGAGTCTGAAGTGGGATAAAGATTCAAGAATTCTTGCCAAAAGGGTATCAAGCGGAATGTGAAGTCTCTTAAGGGATCAAAATCCTCTCCAGTAAGAGAAACCCGCGGTCCCATCTAATTGGTGAAATTCACCACCATCAACAGTAACTCACGTTATTATAATGGTGTGAAGTATATCCAAAACAAATAGTAACAAATTTCAAAGTTCACCATTTCACACGTAACGTTAGTTACTTTTTGATTAACAAACTTCACCAATTGGATGGGACCGCATGTTCCTCTCACTAGAGAGGATTGTGATCCATCTTAAGGACAATACATATATAACATATACAAATGTGTGTATGTAAATTAGGGCTAATTTCTATTACTTAAGGTTCATTGTCAAATCAGCTGTTCCAATTTTCTACATGCGATGAAAGAGATTATATGTGCGCGTGTATATATCTGTGGATCCTTTTGATTTTGATTTGATCCCAATAATAATTTCTTTCACAAAATTTACTAAGATAAATTGATTCACCTATTACTAACGAGTCAGTACTCTAATGATACCATGCCCTTACTTCCCAAAGGAAGTTTAAGGGTTCGAGCCTATGAAAAAAATTCCATTCACTTGTTTGACTTTTTCCTTTACTTTCCAGGAATATCAAAATGGGATGCATTTCACTCCACATGCAAACACCACTTGAAGGCCAACATTCAAATAAAGCACTCCAATTTGAAATAAACATAAACAAATTATCAATGTCTAGTATGGTTTACATGTCATGAGAACAATTTTTCATTGTACCCGTTCGGAAAGAAATTTTTTTTTTAAAAAGGGGGAAAAAAGGTAAAGAAAAACAAATCAAACCAATGGTGAATTATTTCAACTCTCTCTTTCCACTTTGTCCTCTCCTTATTTTTTAGGTTCCAAGAAAGCTCTCTTGATCTACGAAGCTTTTAATTTCCGACAAGGTACGTAATTTCTTCTATTTTTTACTTTGGAGGAACTTCAGGGTATTTTACTGTAGGGAACCAGAAGACGAAAGCAAACAGACAACAGCCATGCCTGACCTCTCCAAGATTCTTCTTTCTGAAATCCAGATATACCTGACATCCGTAGAGCTTTCGGAATTCATCTCAGCAACCATCAAAAAGAAACACACGGAGAGAAACAAAATCTAACTGTAGAAGCTTTGTCAATCTTGTCACTTGGCTTTACAGGATTGAGCATGAACATCTGCTACTCTTCTTTGGGAAATCATCCTGAAATTTTTCTGTGACAAATGCATCGAGCATTAGTTTTTTTGGGCTGGGACTCGCAGTCAATCTTTATTTAGAATAGAAAAATGATATTTAAGCCTACAAAATTAACCCAATTCCTTGACGGAAAGCTTTGAAGCCTTGGATTAGATGAATGTGAGACCGTGTTTGGTCTCCACTTGAACGCATCCCACGCATGGAATGCATTCGGCCCATCATTTCGGTTGAAATGATGCGCTTGTGTAGCATAACTCTATAGAATATAAATATATATTACACGTATCCTAACTGTCTATGGGACAAGTGTGTTCAATATGAAAGTATCTTCCTACATTAAAGTTGCCCTGGGTTCTACCACCCAAGAACTTCTGGCTCCATTAAATAACCACCAGTGCACCCATCACCGTGGAAAATTTCCTAATCTTTTTAGAAGTATGATATGCTAACAGTATCCTTACAAAAGTCATGTTAAAGCCTAAGGAAGAATAATACTATCCTTACAGATGTCATGTTAAGGCCTAAGGAAGAATAATACTATCGTGATTATATAAGAAGTATGTCCGTGGACCAAGGGAGAAAAAAGGGGGATAGTAGAGTAGGTACGAAAAAGTTAAAAAACAAAGAACTAGTTAGATTATCTCAATCAGCAAGGTTATTTTAGTGAAAGCATATTGCAATATCATATAAGAAATGGACAAGTTCAACAATCATGTAATGATCCGTAAATTGAATTATTGTGAGAAGAGATGCACAAATGTAGACTTCCTACAACATTGAGCCATTTGTCACAGACACATGTTCAAGAAAGTTTTTAAAATAGTACAACTGATACGTTTCAAAAAGCTGTGCGACTAATGCATAGTAATTTTATGAGGCAATAACAAGGACACCATAAATATATGGAAGATAGGAGAACAAATGGCAAGATGTTCATAAACGGAGCTTGTTGTCATTAGGATGTGGAAAGGATTTGAGTAATGACAGCAGAAAAATAAATAAATTCAAAAGCATGTGATCCCTAGATAGAACAAAATGAAGGTGCTCAACTTAGAAGGCAGTGCATGTGTACAGATCAGCAACAGAAACTGTAGGAAATTCACTTACCAAAAAAAGGAAAAAAAAATAAATAAATAATAAGAAAAAAAAAAGGAAAATAAGAAGAAGAAAAAAAAAAAATTGGTACTTCATTCATCCAGTTTTGAGGCTATCAAATGGAAGAGGAAAGCCATAGAATGTCCAAGAATCAAGTAAATTATATTACTCACATGTCATCTCGAAAGACCAGAAATTGGCAGAGCTTTTTTGAGAAACAAAACATGAAGTGGTAAGAGAAGGAACTATTATGACTGACGACAGTCAATATAACTCATGTTGTAATTAGCATCACCGAAGACATAATAAACTATATTTACAGTTTCAAGAAAGCAAGGCAGTTTGTGTAGTTATGATGTATAACCTTGTTTACCTTTATAAGGATAGACACACGAAAACACACATATACTTCATCCTAGGCAAAAACACATGCAGTGTACAGGTAAGTATGTCTAGTGAACAAAAAATAATCAGTGAATTACCACTACTTTTTTCTGAAATGGGAGGACGAACAACAACATGCATAGTGATGATCCCTGCTGCAAGTTCACCCACAGGGAGTCTGGACTCAGCAAGTGTCCTGTTATTATCCAGTATCTTTCCCGCATTAATAAGCTTCACATCATTTATAGTTTTTGGACAATTTTCTTTATCTGCAAAACAGAGGCAGCAGCTTATGAAAAAATGTGAGTTAAAAAAAAATAATAATAAATAAAAAAATCAAGAACAACCACGCTATCAATGAAGAACACAAAATTGCATGGTCAGAGGGGAATATCAGACCTCAAACAGTAAAAGCTCTGTGCTTTCTAGAGTACCAAAAAAATGTAAATCAAAGGCACCACCACATAATAGAACAAATGGATATTATTTCACATATAATCATAGCTGCAATTTAAGCTCACATTCATAGATAACTTTTTCAATCATTTGTTGAATCATATTTATTATGCATGATTCTCAATATAATATCACAGGAACTTTTGCCTGTCTTTAACATCATCTAGGTACTGCAGTGCCTTTGCCCATTTTCTGAAGCACGCGGAAGTTGATGCAACACATCACTTAAGGGGAACATACAATTATTTACTTGAGAATTTGGAGGGTTCTCATTGAAGTTTGGAGTGTCTAGAGGAGTCCTATATATAAAAAGGGATATTCAAAGTTGTACAAATTATTGCAGTATTACATCAACGAAACGTAGTGTAAAGCCATGGCAAAGAGTGATTGAGTAGCGACCAAGACTCAAAGAACAGCATTGAAAATTTATTTTGGATTGATGTCAAGAAGAACAATAATAGAGACTATTACTTACTGAGGATACTAATGGAAAGATACAAGGTGAAGAAAGATTTTCATAGAAGTTCTATAAATTTAGAGAAATCCTAATCTCTGAAAATATAACAAGACAGGTTCCAGAAAAGAAATATGTTAGAAATAGATATATTAACATATAACTATAGAATTGAACCATAAACAGTTATTGGACTAGCCATACTTTATGGGATGAAATGAGTATGACTAAGAAAAACATATTAAATAAAGAATGCAGTGAAAATATGAATGTTGAGAATGGATGTGCAGTAAGAAAGTAAACAACGAATTTAAATTGAATACATTCCTGAGATGATTGAAGTAGCACATAATGGAGATAAAACAAGAGAAAATTGACTAAAGATAGTTTCACCTTATGAAGCGAATGCCAATAAATTTGTGAAACATTAGTGGTCCACATTAAGGGTAATACTAGGAAGGGAAAAACCAAAAATTAACATACATTAGAAGAGTAGGGAAAGATGTGATAACTTGCGATTTAATTGAAGTACGACATTAGATAGAGTAGATGGGAGAAACAATATTCATATTATTCAAGATGGACTTATGCATCATTTTCAACAACTTAGGCAATCTGAAGAGGTTTTAAAACTCTCCCATTTCACTCACAGAAAAAGGAACAAAGGGCTATCCTAGTACACGAGGCTCCCGCCATTGCGGAGTTTGGGGAAGGTTAGATGTATGCAGCCTTACCTCCACATACCAAGAAGTTGTTTCCTGTTTTGAATCCGTGATCTCCAAGTTACAGTGGAGCAACCTTACAGTTGCGCCAAGGCCCGCCCTCACTCACGAAAAGGAACACATTTTCAAAAAGTTCTGTAGCAATCATCCAGATAAAAAAAAAAATTCAAAACAGAATCCCAAAGATCCATTAATAATTGTGATCAATATACCACTAACTAAGACAGTTTTACATATGGCTACGATACAGCACTCAACTTCTTTTCAACATGATGACGCAGGTATGCAGAGAGAGATTTTTTATGCCCCCCAAAAAAAAAAAAAAAAAAAAAAAAAAAAAACTTGATCACCTAGGAACCAGCATTTTCAAAAGCTTTGGACTGCAGAAAAACACAAATCTGGGGTTATAGGTTCAATCATGATCAGTAAAGACGTGAATCCAATTATTGACTAAAAACAGAGAAATTTAGAAATATAGTGGAAGGCTGTTAACTTTTGCATGCCACACACTCATATATTGAAAAGCGAACAGTTTGAAGGTGACTAGCCTATCTTGTAAAGTCTCTAGATAGTTGTACAGGATTAAATCCAGGCTCCATCCTTGTTATGTTCAGGGAGGATTATGGATTAGGGGAAAGGCCATCCATGTTATGTAGCCCAACCGTTGGAAGCTCTGCTCCCCCCCTCCCCCTCCAAAGAAAAAAGGAAAAGAAAAGAAAAGATAAAAGTGAAAAGTTCAAGTGAGGTCGAGACAATTTATAATGATTTTGAATCAAATGATTACCAGAAAAAACAATTTTAAGCACTAGATTGTTTAGACTTCATATAATAACAACAGAGAACTCATGTTGAAGCCTACCTAGGATAATATAAAGAAGCCTGAAATTTATGGTGCCTGATTTGGTTCTCCTAGCATTGACCCTGACTCACTTCTATAGCTTGAAAGCTGAACCCTCCAAGTTTTTTGTCAGAATTAAGCATCTTCAAAATTCGTAAGCCATTCTCATTTCATAAATTTTGGCATGTAAAGTAGGCAATACGATGAATAATAATTGTAATTTCATAGATTATTCATGGAATCTCTCTAAAATATTTTGATGTTGAGGAAAGTGCTTTGAAAGGGACATATTAAGTTGGACGTCTAATTTCTTGCGTTCCTACTTCCTAAGAAACGACCGAAAGAACCATATAGATTGACCCTAGGAGTTGGCTTTCTTGTAAAATATATATATTGGCAGATGGCCAGATTATAACTGAACATTGCCAATGTGATTCTAGGAGAGATATAGAGAAGAGGCAACTCTTGGTAGAACAGACTACCAACAAAGATGTAGCAGAGCTAGAGCCCATAAATATACATTATCTCCATTCTTAACAATAATCCAAACAAATAAAGAACACCATTATTATATTAAATAATTACAATTAGTGACTTCTCAGTAGCCCCAACAGCTATTAAAGCCCTCAAACATCAGCTGCCAAAACAATTCGAAGACATAAAGCATGCAGGAAGACTAGTAAGCTAGTTAACTTTTTATCTGCCACTAATAGAAAATTTAAAAGTTCTCCTAACTTCATATTGCTTTCCTAATGATGTAGACAAATTTGCTCAGAAGTTCTTCAAATTGCAAATACAATGGTAATTAATTATCTTAAATGCGTATGCAAGAATTTCCAGAAGTTCCAGATTATACAGCAAATGAATGAGAAGTGACAAATTGGATCATGACATATAAAAAAGTGTGTGTGTGAGAGAGAGTAGAAAATTAAACATATGCATCATAAGTTGATGGTTTTTAAGACAATTACAGCAACAAAGCATGCCCACTTGCAAAAAATTATATAGCAAAGTCAATATCTTTACAGCATGAAACTGAATAAGCAAGCAAATGAAAAAACTGCAGTGTACAGTAATTTATTTTCTCAAATTATAGAAGAAAAAAGAAACTATAATTTTCAGACAGAAGCAAATCCAGAGGATATCAATACCAAAGATTATTATTACATCCAAATTCATATTTCAAAAAAAAAAAAAAATGTAAGAATAAAAAAGAATTTGTAACCTTTAGGCCATTGTCCAATTATCCTTTCTTTGAGAAATCCCACAGTGGTACCAGGGCTATAACTGCTCGGCCCGATGTCGGTGCCATCGGCAAGCCTGAATTTGAGCTCAATCAATTCTTCTCCTGCCATTCAAGAGCCTCACAACCAAAATTCACCTCAATTTCTCATAATCATAACCAAATCAACTCAAAATTTTCAAAATAATAACTCTATATTGCTTTCACACTGACAATCACAATCGCAATCACCCCAAACCTCCCTATAATCAATTAACAACTGATTTATAAACGAAATTATCAATAACCCAGATCAAATCTAACAAGATCACAACCAAAAATCACTCGAACCCATCAAACAAGTAGGCAGAAATCCATGAAAAGAGTAGTAGTTTCAACAGATTTGCAGTGAATAATATACAAATAAGTGCTTGATGTCAACCTAAGATCAGTGCTAACTGATTAGACATCCATGAAATCAATCAACCCAAAAAGCCTTGAAGATGTTCAGATTATTGAGAAAGAATCAGAAACGAAAGTGGAAAAAAGTGGGGGGTGAAAATGATAATGGATCGACACCCACCAGCTGAAAGAATGAGAAACGTATTCAATTGCTTGATGTAGAAAGAAAGGAAAAAAGAAAGAAGAGAAACAAATAAAGAAAACAACCACCTAAACGGCGGAGACTTTCTCAGTGAGATTTATAATATGTCAAAAATATATATGAAATATCTTTAATCTGAATTAAAAATCTAATGATTTGGAAATCGACAGTTTTATATGAATACTCATAACCAATACTATTGATCCGTGTTCATTTCGCTGCACTGTTGGAAATACTGTGCAGCAAAATGATATTTTTTTGAAATAATTATAATTTTTTTCATATTATCTAAATAACAAGATCTCATTTTTAATTTCAAATATAATACTAACCTCCTATACAAGTATACATTTTAAGTTTGGGTAATACCAACTATTATGATTTGGCCGGTCTTTTTTAACTTTTTAAACAATTTAGGTGACCTCTTATTAAGCATATTCACAAAGAAAAAAAATAAAATTTAAAATTCAATAATGTCCTTAACAAACTTGAAAAATTATTATTTTTTTCTCCGTAAATAAATTTTATTCGAAAGCAAACAGCAAGGGCAAAAGCCCACAAGAAGAAGGGCCCGCAATAGATTCCACATTTGTTTTTTTCAAATATGGAGAATAAGCACTGTTCATAAAGAAATATATATTTTATATTAAAAAAAAAAAAAAACCAATAAAGGTACAATGAGTATAACAAACCTTTAATATTTTCGGATCAAAGTTAATCTTGATAAGATGTTAGTGTTATATTTAAAATTAGAAAGAAATATTCTATTATTTAGATAATAACTTGAAAAGTAAATATAATTATTATTTTTTAAAAGAATCATATTACATTAGTCGAGAGAAGTAAATTAGTAATCCAAAAACAAAATCAAAGAATAACAAGCCATTAGATATATGCGTGGGACTCAATGCGACTAAAATTCGTTCGGTTTGGCATATCGATCAGTTCTCTTGGTATAAAATAAAATATTTTATTTTTTACAATGTAATAAAGTTAAGAGCAGTGGTACATGTCAAAAAAAAAAAAAAAAAAAAAAACATCACTTTATCACAAATCTGCATATTTATGGCAAATATATATATTTTTAGTCATTTTAGTACCTTATGTTTCTCATATTCCCCCTAATTTTTTTCTTTAGCTATCTATATACTTAAGTATATTATATATATGAATTCTATATTTCAATTCCTTCTTTACATCTTTTCAATCCCATTTTAGATTGAATAACAAAGTACACAGTCATCCTGTAAATATGTAAGAGATTTCTAAAAGGTTTAAGATAAAAACTAGTTTCGATTTTATTTTGAATTTGTTTTGAATTTTTAATTCATCAAACCTTACAATTATATTTCATTCAAGTTGCAGCATCACCATTCATATTATATATGTATATGTATATGTATATCACCATAACTCGTGCAAAAATAAAAGATTAACCCTAGATTGAGAGATGTATAAGACACATAAATAACCTTAGATTGAGAGATAACAAGACTCGGTTTGTAAGATTAGTTTTTCGGAATAACATTATTTTTATTTTTATTTTTTATTTTTTTCTTTCTCCCATTAATTCTTCCCAAAAATATATAATCCCTTTCTCATTATTTAACTTAATTATTTGACTATTTCTTTTCAAAAATAAAAATTCAATAAAATAAAGTAATTTATTTAGTGATCTTTAGCATTTTCCTAAAGTTAATGTGAAATTTTCCAGACAATAGTGGTCCCATTGATGAATAATTTGTGTTACAATCTCGAAATAAAGGGTGATGCATAGCAAAATACAAGAAGGACGCGTGTAATGGATAAGATGTGCTTCCCACAACAGAACATTCCTTTGCTTGTATAATTGCTGTCAATAATTTGATATCAAAGTCTATTATTATTATTATTATTATTTTTTAAAAAAAAAAAAAAGAATTAGGAGAGACTGTTTAATATATCGAATCTATTTTTTTATTTTATTTTATTAAATTCATTTTTTTTTTTTTTTTTTTTTTTTTTGTTGGAGAGCTAGAAATCGCTTGTTTTCTTTATTCTTCTTCTTATTTTTTAAATTTTTTTAACAATGAATTCCAATTTTATCCTTATCATTCACAAAATAAAACATCATTTTTTTTTCTTTTATCTTTTCCAAATATTATCATTTTTTTTTCTCTAATAATCAATTTTTTTTTTTTTTTTTTTCTTAGTTGGGAGTCACACACACTTCCTCCACTAAGATTTGAACCGTGACCTCCCTTTCAAAAGTAAGAACTTCGTACCACTAGGCCACAAGCCTATTGGTTCTAATAATCAATGTTATCGTATCATTCTTCATTTCTTTTCTTTCGTATTACACGAAACAGGAAGTTCGGAAAAATTGAAGAAATGATATATTTCCATTCAATCTATATTACCAGTAGTTACATTACTACTGTAGTAGTATAGTGTCATAACAAATCTATTATTAATTAGAAAGTTAAAAGGTAAAATTATAATTTTGAAGTTGGAAGAGTATTTTAATTGAGGAGCTGAGCTAATGGCACACGTGAAATAGGAAGACCTGGTCAGGAATGCATTATTATAGTATCTTCACAATGTGTATATACTAATAATATACACACATTGTTTATATATATATATATATATATATATATATATATTTGCAACTTGAAATTTAAGTTGGTGGCACAATCAAACATAGAAAGAGATCTAACCGTTGTTTGGTGGATGGATGAACAACTCTATAGAAATTTCAAGTGCCGGCTGTGTTATATATATATATATATATAGTTTTTGGTAAGTACTAGCATTATATTTGAATTTTATATTTTTTTGGAAAATAATTTAAATACAATTTTTTAAATCACAAAAATATGGTGGTGGGCTAAGAGATGGACAGTCTGATTAATTGAATCACAAAATTCTAAGGTCCACAGGAATATATTTGTCCAATTATAAAATGATTTACTGTTATAAATTTATAAGAAAGGCATTTTAAAAATAAATTAAAAATGGTCATTTAGTAGTCATTAAGCTTTATTTATTTATTTATTATCACTTTATAGCAATATTTTTTAATTTTGGTAACTAAATTCTAATTTCCGTGATAGTGTTGATCACTTTGTAACAATATTATTTAATTTTGACCATTAAATTCTAATTTTCATGATAGTATCGAAATATGTAATTTTTTCTTCTCACATGTAAAGAATGGTTATCCGAATTTTTATTTAGTGTAACCCAAGTTCACACTATTTTTAACATGATTTATCACATAATCTTGTGGATCATTCACAATATTAAAATACACACACACACATATATATTGAGTACACTCAAAAATTCACAGACATTAATTTAATGACTTAACCGGACAATATTAAATATGAGAATCCGCAACTCAGTCCAAAATGTCCTAGTCCAACTCCCAAGATTAATAGATGTGTATATATAATACAATATACACACTCGCGAGCACACGACATCAATATCTATTGGCTGTTTGATCATGACAATAGACCAATATAAAAATTTTTGTGCATTAGAGGACGAACGCAAAGATAATGGAGAATATGATTATTTTATTTTATTTTGTGTCACCAAACAACGTTGCATAGGCATCACAATTTCATGGAGAAAATGAATATAATAAGAAAAAAGTTATCGCAAAAGGCAAGCACTAATATATGGAATAACACTATATGGAACATCAATTGGTCTAATAAATGGGGTCAACACAACCTTTTGTAGAGTTAGTCCCTCTCAGCCACAAAAGAGTAGACACATTTATCATGCTCATCTCTCAACCCAATCATAACACCATATACTACATTGTGCAAGTCAAATATAAATCAATTGGACCAAGTAAGTTCCAATCCCTAAAGTCTAGTTTGGTACAGAGGACATTTGTTTAGAACATAAAAGTAGGAATTCGAGTTTTATAAATCAAAGGACAATTTGAGAAAAATATCCTTAATGTTTAAATTTTAGAAAATATCATCTTAATATATATATATATATATATATATATTTGGGTATATAAGTGAGTTTGAAAAAATAATCAAAGAAGGGTATGAGGTCATTGTTTCGTTACACATTTAGTGATGTATACAATGCACATGACATTTTTAAGATATAAAATTTCAAAAATACCATTTTCTTTTTTAATAATGCCCTTTTATATAGAAAAAAAAAAAAAGAAAAAAAAGAAAAAGGACACTTTAGTCATTTCACATTTAATTGTTTTTTTTATTCTTTTTTTATTTAGTTATATTGGGACACTTTAGTCTTTTTAACATTTAGATCCTTGTTTACTCAAAAATTAAATGTTAGGAATTTTTCATAAACTTATAAGAAGTTATACACTCTATATGTATACCATACGCATATTTCGCTTTTTTTTTTTTTTTTGAAAAGATTGGAATTTTTGGAAGTAGATGATGAAAAGATTGGGATTTTCAGTAGCACACCCACCAATAAGTGGATTGCCATTGTTGTAGTGTTTGGGTTATAGACCTTACTATATCCATCTAAGCTTCCTCATAAAGCATGCAGATTGTAGTGCCATTTATAGAAGTTTTTCACAAACCACAATAAATATCTTCAGAGTCTTTGAATCTTGATCCCACTCACAACCAAGATGATGCAAAAGAAGCAAGCTAGCTTATTGTCACGAAGTGATTTCAAAGACGCTTGGAGTATGGAAGACACACATGCTGGTTGGTAAATAGCAGAGTTTGACTGGGAATGGTTCCAGGGAAGGGGCGTGCAGAGGCACAAGATGGTACCTCTTCAGAGTTCAGGCAGGTCGACTCGGTTCAGTTCGAGGTGCTTGTCGCTGGTCGTGGACTTGACTATGAAGAAGGGAGTTGGCCATTCCTGCACAAACTGGTCGGGAGCTGGAACCGTTCCCCTGACGACGCTAAGGTAGGCTGAAACCAGTTAGCATGTACCCTTGGGAGGGTAGGTCGTGGTGGCTGACCAGGGTGCTAGCACGAGCTGAAGCAATGCCTTGGTGCCGTACGGGCCGTGCCGCTGCGCCAAATCTTTAGGCCCATGACAAATGGTATCAGAGCAGGACTTGGGGTAAAGCACGGTGAGGTGC